GGGAGGGAGGGAGGGAGGGAGGGAGGAAGGAAGGAAGGAAGGAAGGAAGGAAGGAAGGAAGGAAGGAAGGAAGGAAGGAAGGAAGGAAGGAAGCAAAATGCTGTCCAGGGTGGGCAAAGTTCCAAACAAGGAGCTCAGGGATGCAGAGAAAGCATGTGTTTGTGGAGACTTTATCATCTCAGCATAGGCTGGAGATGATGCTCACACTTTCCCGGTTCTGTTCGTGATGGATAAAAGGTGGGGCAGCAGACCTCAGCTAAGGGAGGGAAATGAAAGCCAGGTAGAGATCCTTATCCCACAATCCCGACAGCGCCTGCTTCTAGGATGGGGTTTCTTCCTCCAGCTAAGAAGCAGAAGTTCAGGAGACAGCAAAAAGTCCTACTTTACCATGAAAAAAAAAATATGGACACACCCTTTTCCTGGCTGCTTTGTCAGTAGATTCCACGAAGGACCAGATGGTTCATTGGTTCCTCATCTGGGGTTCCTAGGCTAGCAACTATGCATGACCAAGAGACTTGAAAGATGAGCACATTCTCATAGCCCCAACTCGGAGATGCTGGGGTGGACCTAGGAGTCATGTTCTAATATCCCCTCCCACTCTGAGTGACTTCAGTGCACCATCAGGTTAGAGGCCCATTAAGCTGTCTCAGGGACTTTCAAATCCAGTCACACATTAAAACTACTGAGGTGGGATCTGGAGGAAGGCTTCCCAAGTCGCCTGTGTCCAGGTCCCAGTGCAGATCAACAAGCCCAGGATCGGCAGCCATGGCTCCACCGGGTGAGTGGGACTGTGTTATTATGGAAGTTGTGTGTCCTCACTCGTCGGTGGGCTTTCTAGTTCTGCCAGAGAAGGAAGGGAGGAAGCCAGACCTGTGTTGTCATGGCCGATCCTAACTTTCCACAGGTCTCCCAGATCCAGCGTCTCCACAGTGAAGATTTCAATGCTGTCCCTTTCAAACTTGTCGCTGTTGGTCTTGGAGGACTTCAGGAGGGTTATTCCTGCCAACCAAATAATCCCAGTGTGACTGAATGGCTGAGACTTTCCCAACCTGGCTCACCCTCTATCCTTTCTTCTTCCTCATAATGGTCAACCTTCTGAATCTCCATCAAACCACCAGAGATGTCATACCTCCCACTGGGCGTGTGTGTGTGTGTGTGTGTGTGTGTGTGTGTGTGTGTGTGTGTGTGTGCTATGTGTATGGTGTATGCGTATGCATGGTATGTGTGGTTAGGTGTGGTGGGTGGGTGGGGTGTGTGTGTATGGTGCTTGTGTGTGGTATGTATGTGTGGTGTGTGTATATTTGTGTGTGTGGGGTGTGTATGTGTGTGTTTTATGTATGTGTATAAGGCATGTGTATGGTGTGTGTGTGTATGAGGGGTGTGTGTGTATGTGGTGTGTGTGTGTGCATGGTATGTATATGGTATATGGTGTGTGTATATGTGGGGTGTGTGTGTTTATGTGTGGTGAGTGTGTGTGTGGTATGTGTGTATGGTATGTGTGTGTGGTATGTGTATATTTGTGTGTGTGTGTGTGGTGTTTGGTGTATGTATGTATGTTTTGTGTATGAGTGTGTGGTATGTGTATGTGGTGTGTGTATATTTGTGTGTAGGGGGATTGTGTGGTATGTTTGGGGTGTGTGTGTGTGTATGTGGTATATATATGTATGTGAGTATGGTGTTTGTGTGGTGTGTGTGTGTGGTATGTGTATGGTGTGTGTAGGCATGTGTGGTGTGTGACATGTGTGTATGGTGTGTGTGTGATATGTGGTGTGTGTATGTATGTATGATGTGTGTATTGGTAAATATGTGTATGCCAGTATGGTGTTTGTGTAGTGTGTGTGTGTGCGTGCGTGCGTGTGTGTGTGTGTGTGTGTGTGTGTGTGTGGTATGTGTATGATGCGTGTATGCATGTATGGTGTGTGATGTGTGTGGTGTGTCTGTGTGTGTTCTTTTATTGATCTTTTAAAAACCCTTTCATGTATACTTGCAATTCCCAGTCTGTATCTAAAGAAAAGCCATCTCCATGCTCATCCAGGAGACAGCCGCAGGGCTGCAGCCAGCGTAGGTTCTTCCACAAGCCTCGCAGTTCTCTGCATGGAGACAGAGCCAGTGGCAAAGTCACCTTCCCCACACTCATGTGGGGATGCAATGTGCAAAAACTCTCTGCAGATTCCCCTGGACTCAGCAGAGAGACCGCTCCAAGTGCCCTGACTGGCTGTCCCCGATACTGGATTTGGGGCTAGCTGTGGTGTCAGCCTGAAATCTGAGGTGGGCCCGTCTTCACCATCCTCGCCTACCTCCTCGGTACCATGCCGCCCTGAAGTCCCGTCACCCCAGGTCCAGTCCCCCGCAGAAAGCCTTCTGGAAGACTGACTTGAGAGCTCAGACAGACAGACAGACAGACCCTGGGGCCCAGCTCTGCCTGCTGCCGTCCAGTGGTCCTGGGAAACCGCTGTCTGTACTTTGGCTTCCTCAAATGTCAGAAAGGTGGCCTGGTGCTCTCCCTGCAGGGCTACTGTGAGGCCTGAGTGCTCAGCAATGTGACTAACAACAAAAAGCCACAGGGGAGGAAGGACAGTGGCCAGAGCCCTTCACTTCCCTCGAAAATGACTCAGGAACCATCACAAGCCTATTGATGATCAGCTGTGACCCAATTCGTTATACACCATTTGCTTTATTCAACCTACCAAGTACTAGTGACAATTGATGTTTGTAGGATGACCTTTGATCCCCAAATTGTAAGTGTTCTATGGAATGCAACTCACAGCCCTGATGCCCACATAGAGTTTTATCTCTGTTTCACGAATGGGGGAAACTAAGGCACAGAGTGGTTGAGCAGCTTGCCCCTGATCACACAGCCAATTCTGGAATGGAAATTTGAATCAATCAATCAGGCTTCAGAGCCATGCTTTGTATTAGCACACCCACCATTGCCCTAGAATGGAGCTCCTCACAGTCAGGAATTAACTCCATTCCCTCTTCAGGGGTGCTCGGCACAGAGCCTCGAGCTAACGCATGAAGACTGCTTGAAGAATTGTTTCCTTTCTAGACTCAGGCAGAACGGCCCAGGGAGGATGGAGTGGAAGGTGACAATATCGAATTGAAGATGCCACCTCCGCTGACTTCCTGTCCATCTTCTGGAGTAACTCTGGCACTCCCTGAAGACCTCCACTGACTTCCTGTCCAGCTTCTGGAATAACTCTGGCACTCCCTGAAGACCTCCACTGACTTCCTGTCCAACTTCTGGAGTAACTCTGACACTCTCTGAAGACCTCCACTGACTTCCTGTCCAGCTTCTGGAGTAACTCTGGCACTCCCTGAAGACCTTAGAGTGGGGGACCCTGGGGCCCCCAGGGCTGGGTTTTATTGGATTTGAAAGAGTTCTTTCTTCCAGGTGATTATTGGGGTACAGTTAGGGCAAGGGCACCTTTGCTGCTGCAACAGGAGCAGCCCCCGACTTTGTCTCATGGGACCCACTACTGTGTTCTGCTGGAGGACAGGTATGGCCTGGACTTCCTGGGAACCTTCTGCTAAGTTGGCCAGGGTGCCCAGAAAAACGCCATGTTCCTTTCTTACCATTGTCATCCTGTGTGCCGAAGAGCGTGATGAAGACGTTGGCATCCGTTCCGGCATTCTTCTTGTCCCCAGTCTTTATGGTCACGGAAAACGTGGTTGATTTATCTGCCAGGAGAAGAGGACAGAGATGTGAACTGTGGATCACCTGGCGATCCCAGGAAGCAGAGGAGGAGGCTCCTTGATCCACTGTGGCTCTGTCATTCTAGTTCCTCCCATGTCAGTTCTGTACCTGTGAGCGCCACGGTCAGCAACAAGCAAGTATCAGTTCCCACGGTCAGTTCTGCAAACGGCCCTCCTTGAGTTCCTTTAACTCCAGAAACTCCCTCACAGCATAGAAATACCCCCGCCCTGCCTACAGCAAGCCCTTGATCTGTAGAGGTGGTACAGGGTCAAAGGAGACACCAGGTGACTTGGGTGTCAGCAGCCCATAGCCAGCAGCTCTAATCTGACCTCTCTGACCTCTCCAGGGTGGGTGGGGCTTCAGAGACTGGAGATGAGCATCATGGGCCTCCTGGCAGCTACCGCTAATACTTTTTATTCCTTGGGAGCCTAGAAATGTGCCTAGAGGGAGGGCAAAAGATAAACCAGAGCTAGCTCGATCATTCTGTTCTGAATAGCACATCTCACAGCTATGGACCTCCTTAGTCCAGGCCCTATGCTACCCATATGGGAGCCTGCCCCCCACAACTTCTACAATCTCTCCATGGAGGGGGGGAGCACAGGACAACTAGAGTATTAGGAGGAGGTGCCCAGAGCCCATACGTAGGGAAGAGACCAGAGGAGGGGGAAGGGAAAGAGAGACAGAAGTGGGGAGGAGGGGGCGAAATGGAGGGAGGAGAAGAGATAATGGGCGATGAGAGAAATCATCTCTAATATAAGAAACCTTTTTGTTCCAGGGCCATGTTGTCAAGGGGGTTATTATCACCGTGTCCTCCACCCTCCTCATCTTCGCTGGGCAGCACATAGGACTCATCCACTGGCAACAGCTCCCTGGACAGCTGGCCATCATCCTCCTCCACTGCTAGCCACCGCTGACATGGGAAGTAGTACCTGTGGGGGTAGGGCAAGGAAGATTGGGGCGTCTTCGTAATGTTGAAACAGGCTCAGAATGAGGGCCCTCCATGGGGCTGAGTCTCCGGTCTGACCTCCACGGCATTGCTCTCCCATTCTGCCCAGTCTAGGAATTACCTACAGGTCTGCCTGAGATAAATAATAAACCCAGAGACATGCTCAGTCCATGGTACACTGGGTGAAGACATCTAGGAAGGGAGGGACTTGTGAGAACCGTCATCACCCCTTCTTGGACAATCTGAGTCAGCTCCTCTGGCACGGTGCTGCCCAAGGAAGGTGCTCCACAACCATGTATGGAGTCCATGGGCTTTGATGGCATGAACCAAGGATGCTTTTGGGGGCTCTAGAGTGTGTCTAAGAAGTAGAAACTGACCTCTCGCAGCCATCAAGGGAGAGGATGTCCATGAAGACTCCTCTATTGAAAAGCAGTACTCAGTACAATGGAGAGGAAGGTGGGCCGACATGAGGGGTAGACGGGTTACTAAGGACTCACTTCTGCAGTTCAGTGCTCTGGTTCCTGTCTCCAGCTAATCCTTGTGCGATCTTGACCAAATCCCTTCCTAGGATTGTCAGATTTAGCTCATGGAGGGCCAGGGACTCCCAGTCACATTTGGATTTTGCACAAACAATGGATCGTGTTTTGTGTGCATCCCACCTGCTGCTTGGAACATGCTTGTGCGGCTAAGGGCAGGCTCTCTGTGGGAAATTGCTAACTCTACCGCTGTTGCTCTTGCCTCTTTCCTTCCCTTTCTTTCTCCTCAGCCACTCCAGGGCTCCCTTGGAGGCTGTAAGTCAGTGTAAGCTCCAGAGCAGCTGGACAGGAGGTCTGAGTATGCAGCCCCTCTGCAAGCTGGGGGCTCTCCATCTGCACCTCGTCTCCTTGCCCTGAAGTGAACAAAAGGGCCATTTATGATCTAGTGCAGCTCTGGGGTGGGCAGTATCCTGGAAAGTGTCTCCTCTTGCTCTCTGCGCCCTCAGCACCTCCAAATGTTAGAGAAGCAGATCAGAGGGTGTGATGTCAGCCCCGCACTCAGATGGGTGAGGAAGACCATTTTATATTGATGGACTGGGGGGTGGGGCAAGAGTCGCTGGGGCGACAATGGAGTAGACAGCCATGAAAGTGCACCTGCGGGAGACGGCACCACTCTACTTCTCAAGCTTTAAATGTGTGGGTCCATGGGTTAAACTTTCACTCAGTCAGACGACTCAAGGATAATAGGCGGTCGTTCTAAATTATGGCAGAGAGAGGGAGGGAAGGGTGGGTTGTGACAGGGACAATGGGAGCCAGCAAGGGCAGGGGCAGAAGCAGAGACAGGGAGACTCTCAGAGAAAGAGTCTAGGAGGTAAGGGGGGCGGGAGCAGAAATCGGAAGGGAAAGGCTCCCTGCTCTCACTGGCGCCTGCTGAACTCACGCTGCACCAACACATGCTTCCACTTTGTGGGACTCCATTGTCCCCGAGACACCCGCAGCAGGATTCTGAAGGCCGCCACACTCACGGCTGCAGTGCCAGCCAGCAGACCTCCCCTTGGAACCTGCTTCCAACAGGAAGAAGCAGATCTCAGCTGGAGTCAGGCCGGGGCTGGAAACTGGATGTTTAGCCTTATTTCTCTCAGGGCCAGTAACCACACATGAAAGTCCAGGGGGACTGGCCCTAGTGACCCTTCTGTCCTCCCACAGGGGTAAGTCCGGCTCAAGCAGGTCTCTGGAGCCAGAAGATATATAACAGGCAAAGGCTGGTAAGAAATAAAGCACAGGGCAAGCAGGTGTTGTGGACCAGAGAGGCAAAGCACACAGCTCAGACCAGGAGGAGGCAGGAAGGAGCTCCAGGCTGAGTGCTTAGGAGGGGCACATGGAATCGGAGCTTGGAACCAATATAAACACACACACACACACACACACACACACACACACACACACACACACCTTACTTGAAAGTAAAAATTGACTGAGGAGATTGTACAGTTGGGCCCTGTTAGGTATAAATAGTTAGCAGGGCCTAGTGAGTGGCACTGAACCTGAAATCCCCACTACCAGAAAGGCTGGGGTAGGAAGATCAGGAGTGCAGGTAACTTAGTGAGACCCTGCTTCAAATTAAAAGCAAGAAGAAGGCTAAGAATACAGCTTGCTGTGCAATGAATGCCCCAAACAGATGAGTAAATAGCCTGGGATGGTGTTTCCCGGGTTCGTGTGTAAGCGAACAACAGGACAACACTGAGTCTGAGCAGCAGATCGTGCTGCTGCTGACAATGACTCCAGTCCAGAACTCAGAAACTCTGAACTTGGCCATTGCTCAGCCAAGCTTTCTTCTGGAGGCCGGGGGACCGCAACAGTGACAACAGAGAGGAAGTCACTTCTTACATGTGCCACCGTGGAGAAAGGATAATGACTACATAGATCAGATAAAAAGGGATCCAGAGAAAAGACTAGCCAGGGCATGCCAGGGGTCCACAGAGCAGTAACACCTGGGCAGAGACCTGCCTAAACACAGGGACAGGGAGCCCTGGGGAGGCAATGCCAAGCAGAGGGGACCACCTGGAGCAAAGGCTCCAGGGAGATCCGATTTTGTTTGGCTCAAGGAATAACATGAACTGAGCAAAATGGAGGTGGGGGCGGGGCGGGGCAGGCTGGGACCAGAATGGAGAGAGTACAGAAGCCAGGCAGGGCATGTGCTTGTTCATCCTATAGAAGAGAGCAGCCTCTGCAGGTTTTAGGGCAAAGGCCTGCAGGATTCTGGTCTGGGTGACACCAGATGGCAAGTTGGGAGGTTGTGACCAGAAGGGCAAAGCTGTAGAATGGCACCATAGAGTCAGATTCATGCTCTTCTGAGCCAGGAGCCACCACATGCAGCTAGCAGGTTGGGGGTGGGTATGAGAAAGAGGGATCCAGGAGAACCAGTTGGAAGGGAGATTGCTACCTTGGTCCCCAGTCAGGGAAGGATGGTGTGAGGGTTCTCAAACCCCCTGACCACTGGGCATTTCCCTGCCCTGTAAAGGCTAGAAGAGCCCAGGGCAGGCGCTGGGACCTCTCGAGGCTAGCAGTGTTCCCAGGAGAACCACTATTGGGATTCTGTCTTCTGTGGATTTCTCTTTCTCCAAGATGAAGCTGTGCTCGTGGTCAGTGTGAAGGTTGTTGAAGCCAACAACATGGGCACAGAAAAAACATGGGGCGGGACGGTGAGATGAGGAAGGAAGGAAAGACCAGTGAGAGACAGAAACGCACTCTGCCAGGACATGGACTTAACCAGAACCCGTAGCCATCAGAGTAGAAAATGGTTGAAAATGACTGAGGTGCACAAAGGAACAGTTGGACAAGAGAAGAAATGTACCCAGGGGGTGGCACTTTAATTTCTAAATATACAATTCCCCACGCATTCATTCAATGGCAGAGCAATCAAACTCCCAAGAAGAGCTTTTTGTTTTTTTCTTCCAAATCACTTAATGTCTTGATTTGGAAAAGGTAAGAATAGCTAATATTCTTACAGGATAATGAAAGAGGACAAGTGCTGACAGACATTCAAATAGATTACAAAGCTACAATAATTTTTAAATTGTTGGGCTGGACCAGAAATGTCAAATCAACAGAACAGAGAAACCCTGACTGAGCCGGAGGGGAAGCTGGGCGCGGTCTCTCTCCAGCCTGTCTCCCGGCAGCTCTGTCCTTTCTGAGCTTTTGCCTTTGACTTGCAGGGGCATCTTGGGAAGTAAGCAGGGCAGCATCACGAAGCCAGTTTGTTAGAAGAGGGAGTGACAGTCATAGCGAGGCAGCAGTGTGTGCTGGGTACCCTAGCATGAGTTTGTCAGAGGATCCACCCAGGTCAGGACCCCGTGGTCTCTGTTACAGAATTACTTTGGTGACCAGAATACTGAGTTATCTGTGAGGTGTGCATCAGGTGCCCTTGAAATGACCAGGTAGGGTTTGGGGGGAGAATAGGGTGAGACCACAGGCTGCAGGCCAAGAAATGTATCCAACACATATTTATTTATTGCTTACTAAATTCCACATACTGTCAGCCCCTCAGCAGTCTTCCAGAGCTAGCATGCTTTCCCCCTATCACCACTCAGCTCCACATGGAAGAACCTTCTTTCACCTCAATTACCCTAGATTCCCTCATCCAGGAGGCAGTGTGACCTAGTGGCAGGAAACACTCCACAGTTCATATCAGTGGTCTGGATACCAAGCCTTGCTCTGGCACCAGCTGGTTCTGGGGTGTGGTGGCTTGAAAGAAGATGGCCCCCTAAGGGAATGGCAATATTAGGGGAGGTGTGACCTTGTTGGAGGAAGTGTGTCACTGTGGGGGTGGGCTTTGAGGTCTGTTTTGCTCAAGCTCCCCTCAGTGTGACATCAGTTGACACTCAGCTCCAGCACCACATCTGCCTGCACGCCATGCTCCCCATCATGATGATAATGGACTGAACCTCTGAAACTGTAAACAAGCCATCCCAATTAAATGTTTTTTTTTTTTTCATTTATAAGAGTTGTCATGGTCATGGTGTCTCTTCACAGCAATAGAACCCTAACTAAGACCAGGAGTGAGGTATTGCTGTGATAGGCCTGACCATGTGTTGGTTTGGAGGAATTCGGGCTTTGGTACTTTGGGTTGTGAAAGCAATGGAATGCTTTAAGCACTGCTTAATGAGCCATACTAGTAGGAGCATGGAAGACAGTGGTGCTCAGAGTTGTGTGAACTGTTGGGGACTCACTCAAGAGGTTTCAGAGGAGAATTTTAGTATGTTGCCTGGAGATTGTTCTTGTGATATTTTGGTGAAAAAAGTGGCTGCTTTTGCCCTTGTCCAAAGAGTTTGCTGAGACTAAAGTGAAGAGTTTTGGATTAATTCCATTGGCAAAAGAAAGCTCAAAACAGCCTAGCATGGACTCTGTTGTGTGAATATTAGTGGTAACTCTAATGAAGATTCATAATGAAAAGGAGCAAGCTGAGCAGGGAAAAATATTTGAGGAGAAAAAGAGCACCAGAAAGTGGAATGGAGATAAATCCTCTGTTCAAGGAGAAAAATGGATTAAGATGTGGAATAAGGGGAGTGGTGACCTTGAGGAAAGACCCCACTCAGCTAAGTTTCCATCTGGTGAAAGGGAACTGAAGAGAAGCTTAGAGCAGGGTATTGTAGGGCATACCTTTAATCCTAGCACCGGGAAGGCAGAGGGTGGTGGATCTCTGAGTCTGAGGCCAGCCTGGTCTACAGAGGAAGTTTCAGGACAGCCAAGCAGTGAAGGACAGAAAGCTGGTGAAGGTGTAATCAAATGAAGGGGCCATATTCCAGCTCCAGTAAGCAGCAGAACTCGGCAGCTTTGGTCACGTGGTTCTGGCCTTAGAGTCAAGGATAGAAGGAAGGAGTTATGGAATAAAGCCACTAAGGCCAGACTTGTGTCAGGGATGTCCCTGAATGGATTTCTAGTAGAGAAGCTGTGAAGTTGAAGCCTTGGAGAACCGAAGATGTTAGAGATGCCAGAGTTGTGGAGTACCTGCCAAGGAGAGCTGCTAACAGGGAGTGGAATGAACCCAAGAGAAAGAAGTATGTTACAGTCAAACCTGAATGGAGTTGGAGATCTGAAGAGAGTTTTGACATCAGACATGGAGATAAAAAGTTTGGAATTTGCCGAGTTGGTTTTTGGTCTTGATTTGGTCTAGTATTTCCTCACTAAGCTCCATTCCCTGAGTTTTGGAATGGTAATGTATGTCCTGTGCCATTATATGTTGGAAGTATAGGATCTGCTTTTTTGTTTTGATTTTTACAGAGGGGTTACAGTTAAGAGATTGTCATGCATGTCAGGAGAGACTCTGGACTTTGAAACAAGTTTGAGACTGTCATAGACTATAGGGACTTTTGAAGTTGGACTGAATGCATTTTTTGCATTATGATATGGCCTTTGGGGACCAGGGAGTGAAATGTGGTAGTTTGAAAGAAAATGACCCCCAAAGGGAGTGGCACTATTAGGAGAGGTATGGCCTTGTTGGAGAAACCGTGTCACTGTGGGGGTGGGCTTTGAGGTCTGTTTTGTTCAAGCTTCCCTCAATGTGACAGTCAGTTGACTTGCTGTTGCCTGCAAGATATAAGACTCTCAGCTCTAGTACCATGTCTGCCTAAACACCATGCTCCCCATCATGATGATAATGGACTGAACCTCTGAAACAGTAAGCAAGCCACCCCAGTTAAATGCTTTCTGTATAAGAGTTGTCATGGTCATGATATCTTTTTATAGCAATAAAAACCCAAACTAAGATATGGGGCTAGGGCTTAACCTCCCAGAGTGCAAGAGCTCCTTTATCTATAGGGAGGACCAAATACCTTCTTCCCAGCCTAGGTCAGAGGGTGACTACTACAGGTCTCCAACAGTACCAGTTCAGTATACCACCTGCTTACATACAGCAAGCTAACCATGGACTCTGCATCTGGTTGAGAAGAAAAAGTAGAAAGATCAATAGCATTTGGGGGCATGAAATTCAAATTTCAGTGTGCAAAAATAAAGTTTGATTGGTACACAGCCAGATTTCCCATTTCAGGTTGCTTTTTGTTGTTGTTTTTGTTGTTGTTTTGAGACAGGGTCTTACTATGTAGCTCTGGCTGGCCTAGAACTCATTATGTAGACCAAGCTGGCACTGAACTCACAGAGATTCCTCTGCCTCTGCCTCTTGAGTGCTGGGATTAAACCTGTGCACCAGCATGCTCAGCTGAGGCTCAGCTTGTGCATTTCCAGTGGAGAGCCTTCTACAGAGATCAAATGCTGTACAAAACTGGAAACGGTTTCTATGTGGCCCTTTTAGAAAATGTTGTTGATCTCTGGCCCCTAGAGCATTAAAAATGGGTGCTCTAAGTTGATTTCTCCATGGAGAGTTTGGGGTGAGATGCTGAGGTGGGTGTTCTATAGGACTCTTATCTGACAGGGCGAGAACTTCTGGGAGGGAGAGAAGAGAGGCAATGCCCACCATGATTCCTTGATAGTCATCCTGGCCTTGGCCAACCCACCATCACCCTCAGACATCACCTCCCAATACCTGGTCCTCTCTCCAGGACCAGTTTAGTGCCAGGCACTCCCTCCATCCCCGCAAGTCCCACTCACGTGATCTCATTGTTCATGTCCGTGATGTCTACCCTGTCCAGGAACCAGCCTGGCCTGTTGCCTGTGTTGTCATGGCGAATCCGAATCTTGGTCAGAGGCCCCAGGTCAATGGCATAGATGGTAAAGGTATCTGTCTAGGAGAGGAGAAAGCATGACTCAGAGGGGCGACACATGTCCTCCCCTCCCCCCACCACTGCCTTCAGCTCCAGTCTCTCAAGCACCCAAAGGAAGATCATAGAATCCAAAGCAACCAGGAGCAGGTGAGAAAAATACAGCTTCTTGGTCTTGTTAGCACCATACTTTTCTGGTTTTTTGAGCTCTGCATTCAAGCCTAGGTTCATCTTAAACTTGTCATCCTGCTTCTGCCTCCCAAGAGCTAAAGGTTACTGGTGTGCACTGCTATGCCCAGTTCTTACACTGTTGCTTCATAACCCGGGCCTACGAGGGCATCGTCTCACTTGCATTGTATTGAAGAAAGGAAAAGGAGAAAGACGGTGGCCTTGAGAGAGGCAGAAGAGAGACAAGTGAGCTGGATTTCACATTTGGTTTTTGTTGTTTGTTTTTGTTTTCCAGACAGGGTTTCTTTTGTGTGGCCTTGGCTGTCCTGGAACTCGCTCTGTAGACCAGGCTGACCTCAGGCTCACAGATTCACCTGCCTCTGCCTCCCAAGTGCTGGGATTAAAGGCATGTGCCTCTGCTGCCTGGCTGGATTTCACACTTGTGACGAGTGGGGGAAGGGTATACTGAGACCGTACTCTCAGTGTAGACATGTGCACAATCTCCCTCAGCCCTGTTTGTGTTGAACAGGCTCCATGAGCCAGTCCTGAGAAAATCCAAGGAGACTACAGAAAAGAAGATTTGGACATGGCCCTCACTTAGGTGGAAGATGAGTGGAATGTGCGCCATGTATTCTGTGGTCCACAGACTTCTGTGGGTTGCCATATGCATCAGAGGAAGAAGGTAAAACAGAGACCCAGGAAGTGAGTGGGATCTTCTGGACACACCTTTAAAAAACTCTTTATTTTGAAAAAGATCTCAAACCTTCAGAAACCTTTCAGAAATAGATATAACCATGGCCTGCCTTCTCTTAGATGCTGCTCATGCATGCAACATTAGTTGGATTGCTCCATTTTGTCTCTCTCGTATATCCTTACTTTTTGCCTTTTTTTTCTGGATCAATTTAAAGCAGGTGATAAATACTATGATCTTTTACTCCTAAATATTTCAATGTGGATCCCTAATAACAAGGACATTCTCATTTAACACCATACAGTGATCAAACTTGTGTTAACTTCAATACAATATAGCCATGCGCACTTAAGAACAGGGATAATGTTCTGAGAATCGTGTGGCTAGGTAAGTTTTGTCACTGTGTAAACATCATACTGTGTGTTTACACACAGTGAGATGGTGCAGTGTCACTGGGTGATATACTCTGAGGGGACCACATCCCATACGCCATTCATTGTTAGCTGAAGCATTACATGGCACATGTAGGCAGTATTAACACTGATTGCAGCAACCCTACCCGTCTGCCCTCTACAGTGATGCCCCAGTCCAGCAATACAATGGCCGTAACTTTCCAAGGTAAGGCACTGAGATGCAGAAACAAAACCCAGTACTGAATCATGGGAGGGATGTTGAAAGGAAACATGGGGTGGAAAGGGTAAGAAAAAGCTCATGGCATGAGCTGGAAACTATTTTAATAGATTTGGTTTATGGTCCCTTCCTGTGTCGACAAGAGAACCTGGTCTGGAGAGAGGGGCAAGAATAGGGGGGAGACATTCCCTATGGTGTCATGCCTTACTCAGTCTTGATGCAGGGGGCAGGGGCTAGGTCCTGCCCCAACTTGGTATGCCAGCCTGTGTTGACTACCCAAGGGAGGCCTTACCCCCTATGAGGAGGGGAAGGGGTGGGATGAGGGTAGGTGCGGGGAGGGAGCAGGAGAAGGGGAGGGAGGCAGAACAGGGGTTGGTATGCAAAAGGAAAGTAAAATTTTTTAAATAAAAAAAAAGAATAGGAGGGCGAGATGAAGGGAGGGGGGGACGGGGGATTTTGTAAAATCTCGAAGGACGGGAGAGCAGCGTTCTTTAGCTTTCTTTTTCGTGTCTCTCCCTTGCTCCTGGAAGAGTGAGGTGCACACACTCCATTCACCGGTTCCCTTCCTCAGAAGAAGCGTCAGGCTTTGCAGCCACGCTTTCAAGGTCATGGTGGGAATCTCTCTGTCCCTGTCACACAGCTACACCATACTTACCTGTCCAGATTAAGTCATTCCTGTCCACCAAGCCTCCTCCAGAGTGTCGGGTGTTTTGTTTTGTGAGATAGAGCCTCACTATATAGTCAAGGCTGGCCTCAAACTCAGGGTCTGGAGAAATGGCTCGGCAGTTAAGAACGTTGGTCCCTCTTCTAGAAGACTGACTGGATTCCCAGCCCACATGGTAGTTTACAGCTGCCTATAACTCCAGTCCTAGGAGATCGAATGCCCTCTTATGGCCTTTGTGGGAACTGAATGCACACAGTGCACAGACATACATGCAAGCAAAACACCCATACACAAAAAAACATAAATAGATATATATTAAAGCTCACTTAGTGTCTGAATATAGTATTCTCTGGCTGACCCTGAGGACCAACGAACCTACAGGATTCCCTTGCAGGGATCTGACTGGAGTCTTTTCACAACTCTCCACAAAATACCGGTACTCACAGAAGGGTAGCTGCGGCCAGGCCTCACTAGACTGAATGCAACACCCTGTTAGACACACAGTGGACATAATACTGGCGGAGGCTGCTGTGGGCAAAATGTTCCCTGTCTGGCTCCCACCCACCCAGGGGCCAGAAAGCTCTCACTCTACCTGGCCCTGCTCAAACTTGTTGGATTTGTCTGATTTCTTCAGGGGCCGCTCCCCTGTGTCCCCGTATTCCTCACCGTAGATGGTCAGGTAGACGTTGGCATCAGTGCCAGCCTTGGGCACGTTCCCTGTGATCACCTGGACCTCGTAGGTATTAGCTGGAGACACAGAGAGAGGCAGCATTGAGAACACCAGGGCCACAAGAAAGAGCAGTGGCCCAGGCCCTTGGATCCAGGTAGACCCTGGAACCCGGAAGGGTCTACTGCTGTGGCCATACCAGCATACCCTCTTCCCATCCAAGACTTGCACTTGCCATGACACCAAGAGCCCCTGGGCCTCAGCAATCCTCCTACCTTACCCCCATATTTGGATATATCAAGATGTGTAAAAGTCCCTCTCAAAGCCAGTGCTTCCCCTTGAGAGGCACAGGTCAAGGCAGTGCTTAGCTCCAAACAGAGGGGTCAATGGTTGCTTTCCAGGTGCAGGTTAAGAGAGCTATTTATGAACCACAGTGGGGTCCCACCTACTCAGTCTATACTTGAGAGACACTGAGTCACCCTGCCACCACCACCACCACCCCGCCCCGGTCCCTTTAGGGAAAATATGCTCCTCCCCCCACTTTTCCAGGCTTACGCTCAGGACCAGGCCGACCAGCTGGGACCAATTCCACGACAAGCTCATTGTCCTCCTTGCCCCGGGCCAGCCAGCGGTTGGCTTCAAACTTGTACTGTTCGATCACTTCCTGCATCCCTGGCCCCAACTCCTCCTCTTCCTCTTCCTCCTCTGTCTCTTCCTCTTCTTCCTCTTCTGATGAGGACTCTTCTGATGAGGACTCCTCCTCCTCGCCCTCATCCTCCTCATCGCTGCCTTTCTTCTTTTTCTTCTTCTTTCTCTGCAGCTTGGCCTTCAGCCTCTCCTTCTTCAGCAGCTGCCGCAGCTTGTCCTTCTCCTTCTTCTTCCGGGCCTCCTCCTCGGGGGTCAGGTTCGCCTCCTGCACCACCAAGTGCCGCAGCCACACTGTGTCCACGAACCAGCTGGGCCCAAAGCCCTCGCCCGTGTGTCCCAGTCGGATCTTGTAGATCTCGCCCACATCGGCCGCTTCCAGCTGTGCAAAGTGCAGGGCGGTGGCTGACATGGCCCCTGCCGTCCTCCCGGCCTCCCCCAGTGCTGAGCTTCAGTGTAGAGAGGTCTCGGCTCCTGCTCAGAAGTCTGAAAGTTCCCCCTCTCCCACTGTGTCTGGCCCTTCCCCAGGCTTAAGGAAAAGACTTTTCTAACTCCTGTGGAGTTCATCTCCCTGCTTTTCCTCTCTTTCGCCCTACTCTTGCTTCTGTAACCTGGCTCCTGCAGCTCCCTCACCCTGTCAGGCCCCTGCAGCTCCCTCACCCTGTCAGGCCTGCGGTTACTCCCTTCCTACCTCCACCTCCAACCTGGTCCCAGTCCTGGGCCTCATTATTACCTTAAAAACACACAGGCAAGAGCCTGGCAGTGGTGGTTGCTCATGCCTTTAATCCCAGCACTCAGAAGGCAGAGGCAGGGGGATCTCTGTGAGTTCCAGGCCAGCCTGATCTACAGAGTGAATTTCAGGACAGCCAGGGCTACACAGAAAAACCCTGCCTCAAAACAAAACAAAACAAAACAAAACAAAACAAAACAAAACAAAACAAAACAAAACAAAACAAAACAAAAACAACCAACCAAAAACCACAGACAATATCTTCATGTGATCACGATTAGGAAGATACCATTTCGCAAGAAGCAAAGAAATGTGTTTCTTTGGGGTAACAAATAAACAAAACCCTCACCCATTTTCTCTGAGGTCCCCATCCTTCCCAACCACACAACCTTGGTTTGCCAGACCCTTGAGCTCAATGGGGGCCCAGGACTTAGCTGGCCTTGGTCCTATACTGCTGTCCAGGTACTCTAGAGCTGTGCTGTGGTCTGACAATGACATGAGCCCTGTAGGCTCCTAGGTCCGAACACCCAGTCTTCCGCTGGCATTGTTTGGAGGACTGTGAAACCTTTAAGAGGTAAGGCCCTGTTGAAGGGACTGAGTCACTAAAAGCGGACCTCAAGTTGTCATAGCCCGGCCATTTTCCCTGCTGCTTTCTGCTTGGCCACTGTGACGCAATGTGACCAGCTGGCTTACACCCTGCCACCATGCCTTCCTTGTCACGATGGACCCTATCAATCTTAAACCATAAATAGAAATAAACCTTTTTGTCCTAAGTTGATTTTTTTTCCAGTATTTTGTCACAGTAATGAAAAAAAGAAGTTAATACAAGCCATGAGTTCCCTTTAAGGACAAAGATCATCATTTGGAGTCTCTTCCCGTGGGCCTAGGGCACAGTGGCTCCACCTCAAATTCACTGTCACTGTGTCATGTGTCCTGCATTCTCAGGAAGAGGGTTCTGAGGTTCAGACTTTGTGGGGAGCTCAGCAAGAAGTGTGCCTGGCTCTCCGGAGCACCTTGACATTGAGTCATCTTCATGTTTGACTCTTCTCAAAGTCAAGTTCCACCAGTCCTCCCATTTGAGTGCCAGCGATCTGAGACCCAAGGCTGCCCTGTGGTTCAGTGTCCCACCCTTTAATTCCAGACCCAGAAGAGGACACAGCTCTCCTGGCTTCACATTCAGAACCACAATGGAGCTAACCCACCTTTGTAAGGAAATCATCAAGCAAGATGGTGCCTAGGGCCTAGGTAAAGCAGACTTTCTCTTGTCACTCAGGGATGGGAACTGTGCACTGTTCAGTTACATTTCTATGACTGCGTATCTGACACTGGCTCTTTTTATTGCTATGGGGACTGTGAAGCCAGCCAGGCAGTGATTACAAACTGGGTGATACCAATGAGGAAGCTGAGGAGGTCCTGAAAGGTCAGATACATAGGCTTGGGCCTCTCAGTAGTGTATGAAGACATGTGACCCAATGAGGGCTCTGTGCCTGTAATCTTCTAGACATTTGTGACCCTGGCCTGACCCCAACTCACGACCTTTCCTGGGCATTGGAGAAGGCTCTTCACCAAAGACCAAGGTGTTTGTGGTATAAAAACACACATGGAACACCCAGCATAAGCATGCTTCCTCTACACACATGTCTGTGATGCACACATGTGCTTATACACATATATACATACACAAATGCTTTCATATCCAGCATAAGATACGCAGTGGTTCTGTACCTCCTGCCTTACCAACAATGTGCTCACATTTATGTCTTTTTTTCCTTCTAGGCCAAGACTTGCAGTATGAAGAGAGGATGCTCAAGGACATTAAAAACTCATTAGCAAACCCTGCTACCTCCCAGGGGCCTGCCTAAGAAATATGGACTTGTCACCAGCCTAGGAGAAGTTCAGAGTCAGAGCCATAGACAGGGAGTAGGCAGAGGGACCAGCCCTGGCGCCATCATGGGTGAAAGAACTAATCACTGCAGACCGGACAGTGTACCGGAATCACTGATTGAACTTCCAAGAGAAAGCTATCCCAAAGAACACACCCACTTCCAAAGACTGATTTGTCTAGTTTGGGGTATGAATGAGGCAGTCCTTTTCCTCAAAGATCACCAGGTGACTCAAGTGTAAGGCCAGGAAGGACTCCTACTCATTTCAGGCCCTCAAACTCAAGTCCAAGACAGAAGTTACCATCCACGGGCACAAGGTAGAACATGGGCAAACATCCATGTTTGCTCCTTCCCAGTTCAAAACTCTACACTGCTCATTGCTTCCCGGAATCCCCCAGGAACCCAAGGGAAGTTTAGTCCTCCAGGGAACATCTCCCATTCAGCCTGTTCTCCAGTGGGTGTTGGGTGAGGAAAGAAGACTACCCAGGGCACCACCACAGTGACCCCTAATCCTCTGTTGGCACCCCATTGCCTCACTCTCACACACCTGGAATATGTCCTTGGATGCCCGATCAAAAACTTTGGAGCGGCTGGAGAGGAAGAGTACTTCAGTCTTGCCTTCTTCACCATAGATCTGCACATAGACTCGGGAAGTGGTGCCCGCACCACCTACGTCCCCTGTCCAAACCTCAACCTCGTAGTGGACCACTAGGTGGACACATACGGGAGAAGTGGGTGTTTAGTAATAACAGCAATGATAGCAATAAACATTTCCCAAGCCCTTCCCACATGCACTTCCCAAGCCCATCCCGCATGCCTGATCCTTCAAGGCATCGTCTTCTCTAAGCTTCCCAAGGCACTGAGCCAACATTTTGCAGATGGACAAGCTTAGGCTTAGAGGACTTGAGTGGGTTGCGAAAATGGCAAACCTATGCAATCGACTGTGACATCTAGCCATCCATTGCAGCCCATGCGTCCTTGGAGATCAGGAGTGAGGGCGACTTCATGCACCAGCTGGCACTGTTATCTGCCTGCCTGCTACAGTTTGTCCCCTCTAAGACTCAAACTGAAATCGAATTGCTATTATAAGATGTAGAGGCTTAAGAAGTGATCAGACCATGAGGATTCACCCTTCTGGCTGAGACTGAGTGTGTCCCCTTCTTTCTCTGTCCCTATCTGCCATGTTAGAATGCATCAAGAGGGCTCTCATCAGATGCCAGCACATTAGTACTGAACTCATGGGGTATAGGACCGTAAGCCAATTCATTTGTGTTCGTCTCACATTGTATAATCTAAAATACTATAGACTGCTACTACTATATTATCACAATGCTACATTGCAGCAACAAAAATTACATTAAATTACAAAGCTGCTGATGCTGGGCAGATACAACAGGGCAGGAGGAAGCAAAAGTTGCATTTATTTTCCTTCATTTTAGTGAAGGACAAGAGGTTGGAACGATAGTGCTCATTTAAATATAAGCACCTTTCAGAACATGTCCTGCACAGAAAAGGCTGTGCGTGTTTTGAAATGATATTTATCAGGGTGTTAGAGGGTGGTGAACACATGTTATTGGTAGGGAGCAGTAGAGGCACGCAAATGGAGTAGGTGTGTCTCCCTAAAGGACTACGGCACCATGTGTCTACGGATAGGAGTACTCTAAGACTTGGTAGAAGACAATATTGGGATTGCTTTTTAGGTAAAGCTAGTTGTGTGTGTGTGTGTGTGTGTGTGTGTGTGTGTGTGTGTGTGTGTGTGTTCATGGAGTGTCATCCTCTATCACTCTCCACCTTAATTATTTGAGACTGGGTCTTCTACCAAAATTTTAGCTTATCAACTTAGCCAGTTGACTACCTGGCCAGCAAGCTCCCGAGACTCACTTTTCTCCTTTCTCTGCGACCCACTCAGTACTGGGACTGCAGACATGTACCGTCACACCCAGCTCTTTAGTAAGTGCTGGGGATCCTAACCCAGCTGGCTACGTTTGCTCAGCAAGCACATGTCATTCTGGCTGAAGGAGAGTCGCCTCAGCTTTGTGTTGCTTCTTAGGAGAATTCCTGAGAAGAAGGCTGTGGGAAGAGAGCTACAAGCATCTGCCCTCAGGAGAGATGTGGATGTGATACAGTGGCCATGAGAAGATGGGATGTGGGGCACAGCCTCTGGGCACCCTTGGGAGCCTCTGCCCTCCCATGAGTGAGGGCTCATGGAAGACAGGGCCATGGAAGACAGGGCCAGGGCCATCCTGACCTTCTGCTGCTCAGAAAAAGCTGCTCACAAAGCCTGTCCACTTGCCCTCCCCCCACCCTCTCACCTGCTCCACCCTCCCTAGAGTTCCCCTCCCTATCAGGCAGTCTGCTCACTCTCTCACAAGGACACGACTTTGGTCTGTTTTGTTAACAGCTACCTTCACCAAGCCCAAGGTAGGACTGGCTGGAGAAACCTCAATAGACATTTATTAAAAGTCCGGACCTCCTCTGTTGGTTTTCCTAAGGGAAGATGTAGACTATGCCCTACATTCTGCCACAGGGTTGAGAATATACATTTCCTATTTTTTTTTTTCTTCTTCTGTATTTCTCCAGGATAAAAGTTCTATCCACTGGGTCCTCACATTTGTCATCTGTGAAACAAGCCCTTGTTGCCTTCCAGACACACAGTGCTAAAGACCACAGGAATGCACCCCCAACATGCACACACGCACACACACACACACACACACACACACACACACACACACACACACACACACACACACACACACACACACACCACTGTGTCCCTTTTCCCCACCACAGGGAGACAAAACTCAGTCACCACGTGGCCTGCCTTCCTTTGGCCCCTCCTTCCTCTGATTCCATCCTTCCTCCTCCCCCACTGAACAAGGGAGCAAAGCTGAGGTGCCCAGGGCCCACTCCGCCTCTTTCGTACATTTCTGGATCTCCACGACCTCGCTGGGGTAAAGCTCCACCTCCAGACGCCCGTCAGCCTGGTTCTTATCCAGCCAGCGGTTGGCAGGGAAGGTATACTGCTTGCCTTGGCGGGGCACACGGATCTGGACGCTGCCCAGGAACCAGCCTGCATGCATGCCTGTGCTGTCGTGCCCAATCACCAGCCTGTTGATCTGGAAGGAAACTCCAGGAAGGGTGTGTGAACAGCAGTGTGCAGAAAGAGTCAAGCCTCCACCTCCATCTCTCTGAGTACTGGTGCAAAAAAATCTCCCCTCAACTGGGACCTCCAGACCATGGGAGAAGGCTCTGATCCCGCCTGTCCTGGCAATCAGGAACCTGGGGAACCGCCTACTCAGGTGGGCGTTTCCTGCCCAGAGGCCCCACCCCCTCCTCCTCCTCAGTCTAACTCACGTCCACTGTCAGCTGTGAGAAGCAAGTAGTGGGCGGAGCTGGCAAGGACTTTGGGATCGGTTAGGTACTTTAAAACGAGCCTGTGGCCGCAGGAGCAGTTAAACGCTCCACGCGTCCCACAGCTGCCCCTGCTTTACTTGACTTTGATTTGAAGTCGCACAGTGGTGCACATTTCTGCATCGCCTTGTCGTTTCCTCCCTGTAGGGTCAGAGAATTTGCAATTTGCAGACAGCCTCTCCTCACCGGGGGGGGGGGGGGGGGTCTGTATCGAATCCTCCTCTTACTCTCGGACCCGGGGAACACTGTTCTCTGTCTGTGAACAGTCTAACGTCACTTGCTTCGCTATTTGACGCGGTGACATCTTTGCCTGTAGGACAACTAGGGGTGAGAGCTCAGACGGCCCCGTCATCGTCCTGTCCTTATGTGTATTTGGTTTCTCGGGGTTTGAACAGCTTTCATTTTTGTGGAAATGCTGTATACAGGTTAAATGTAACAATAGATGGGATGAGCAGACGGCCTCTAAGAACCCTTCCAGCCTTGACTCTTTCTTTGTAGTGCTTTGGGGGTTGGGAGGGGTGGGGGGTGGCACTACCCATGTCTGATGCCCAAAGTCCACATTTAGAAAACTGTCCACTCAAGCCCTGGTCCTTGCTTTCACGTGTACTAGGGGCCTCTTTGCAGCTGTTGGGGAAACACCGTCACAGCTCTCACAGCTGAGTACATGGAGCACAAGCCCCTGAAATTGCTCAGTTTTCACGTTATAAAGCCTGGGAGCCTTCTGGATGTCTGACCCGACAGAGGAGAATGCCATTGCTTTTCTGTGATGCTGGGCCTGTCACAGTTCCAGGGAGAGAGTAAGGAAGGGTTAGGACAAGGGCAGGTGTCTGTTGTCAGACATGACTAGAATCTCCCAGAAGACAAGAACTGTCACTCAGTTCTACATCCCCTCAGACTGGAGCAGAGGAATTGTTCAGCAGTGTGCACTGAGGCCTGACTGTAAGTGGGTGGGTATTCTAACAGATTCAATGCTAATAATAATCCCATGGCATCTCTATCATTGGGAATGAGACAACTGATAAAGACAAGGCTAAATAACTTGCACATGGCAAGTCTGGAAATGCTAGGCTCCCAAGCTCTTGCCACACTCTTCACTGAGGGACTTTCACTAACATGAGGGCAAGTCTCCACGGCCTTCTACTGTCAACCCCCTCCCCTCAGGCACCCAGAAATCCTTCGGTAAAGGGGAAAATTATCATTTCATAATTATTAATTTATCTTAAAATGTAAATCTATTTGAAGTTCATTTACCTCAAGGGGTAAATGACTACAAGACCTTTCCCTAGAGCACAGGTTGATGAGAGAAGAGGGTTCACATGAAAGAGGGGGAAGCCCACAGGAGAGGAGGGGCAGGCATGATGAGGTCACAAAGGGCATGCCCCACCCCAGTGCTCATCACGTGACATTTGGAGACACACACTCAAATCCAGAATTGGGAGATATTTTATCCCTTCCATTTGGTTCTTCCTTCTCTCTTTTCCCTTCCTGAATCCAGTATCCTCCTCTCCAGCATCCATGCTCCATCTATATTAACCCAGGACTGTAGTTAAAAATGTTGTGGGTAACGTTACTAAAAATGTGTATTACAGCCTCAAAGAAGCTCTATAAGTGTAACTACTGTTCATGTATCTGCAGCTGCTTGTCCATGGGGGAAACAAAATACTCTCTAGCAACTGCTAAGAGTGTGGTTCTTTTCCTTCAAAATGGGCTCACCCATGTGCACATCAGTGCTGTAGATATCATTCTGTATAAATAAAACACTGATTGGCCAGTGGCCAGGCAGTAAGTATAGGCGGGACAAGGAGAGAGGAGAATTCTGGGAAGTGGAAGGCTGAGTCAGGGAGTCACTGCCAGCCACCACCATGACAAGTAGCATGTGAAGATGCTGGTAAGCCATGAGCCATGTGGCAAGGTATAGATTTATAGAAATGGAATAATTTAAGCTGTAAGAACAGTTAGCAAGAAGCCTGCCACAGCCATACAGTTGGTAAGCAATGTAAGTCTCTGTGTTTACTTGGTTGGGTCTGAACGGCTGTGGGACTGGCAGGTGACAAAGATTTGTCCTGACTGTGGGCAAGGCAGGAAAACTCTAGTTACACATCAGTGCAGATGTGAATGTGTATGTGGACACATGTGGGGCAATGTAGGAACATGGGGAGACAATAACACCTGATTCTGGGATGGACACTTACAGTTCCAATGTTCAGGGTCTCCAGTGTGAACTCATCTACCCGGCCGCGTTCGAAGTAGTCTTTGAGGTTGTTGTCAGAGACAAGAAGAATTTGCTTGATGGTGTCAGATTTCTCTCCATAGAGCTTGATGTACACCCTAGAATCTGTGCTGGCCCCAGAGACATCCCCGGTCTTCACACTGATGTGATATCGAAAGTCTGAACATGCCAAGGCAGAGAGAGACAGGAAGTTAGTGCAGGTCGTGCAAGGACCGAGGTGTTGGAAAGAAAGGGACAATCTTCAGCCAGGGAAGACCCAGGCTAGGAGTCAGGACACTAGGACCTGGAGCCTGGAGCCTGTAACTGGTAGTAGAGGGGCTCCCTCCATCTCTGTGGAGCCCCCTCATCTATAAAACCAGGGCCCTGCCTCTTCCTGTTCTGTAGTAGATGGCTGTGCTGAAGGTAAGAAAGTAAGTGTTAGATAAGAACACTCACATTCCAGAGTCTCGAAGCATCTCCAGAAATCCCCTGATCCAGCTTCAGATGGGTGAGGAACCAGCGCCAAAGGCAATGGAGCTTTCCAATACTTATCATGTCGGGCAAACATTCTATGCTAGTATTGTTAAGTACTCTCATCCCAACCTTGCAGGCAAAGGATGTAGAGCTCAGAAGATCAGGTGTTTGACACAAGATGGTAACAATAAAGTCACCATCCACGGGCTGGAGAGATGGCTCAGAGGTTAAGAGCCCTGACTGCTCTTCCAGAGGTCCTGAGTTCAATTCCCAGCAACCACATGGTGGCTCACAACCATCTATAACGAGATCTGGTGCCCTCTTCTGGCCTGCAGTCATACATGCTGTATACATAATAGATAAATAAATCTTTAAAAAAAAAAGTCACCACCCAGAAGTAAAACCTTGGTATGTATTTAAAGGTGCTCCCTCCCCTCATAGGATACCATGTAATGTTACCCCATTTTTATCTCCCAGAAATCTCTGCACCAGCCTGTGTGTGGGATAAGGAACACCAGAGGAAAACATAAGTTATGGGACAACACCGGCCAAGCTCTAGCTGTTGAGGCAGGCTCCAGGGTGTGTTTCCTAGGCAAAGAAGAGCATGTTAAAGGCCAGTCACTCATTGCTTCTGTAGGCTCTTCCTACTGGGATGTAGTCTAGAGAAAGTAAGCCAAGACCCCATGCCTGGGGCCAGCTGCAACAGAGCTCCCCTGGGGCCATCTGCAGCCCCCTGTCGGCTCAGCTCCCCCGGGGACATCCACTGGGGAAACAGACGGCTTTGCTGCTGTATGGTGCAGCAGGAACCAGGAGACGTCTTCCTCGTGCCCTTTCCTGTATAAACCTCTCCAAGGCTCTGACTCGGAGAGCAGGAGGGTGGGTGCCCTGTCTCCACGGTGGAATGGGAGCCTGCTGCAGTAGCAAGGGCAGCAATCTAAGGTAGAGACGTTCTGGGAACCGATCCCGGTTCCATCAGCAACCATAGGCCTGAGTGTTCCGGTCATGGGGAAGATATCCTCTTATCGTAAACATGGGTGACCGCTTCTGGTGAGCTCCTTCCTAGTTCTTAGACTCTGTGACACTGAGCGCTACACTGGATGTTCTAGTTCAACTGTGTGATCTGACCTTAGTAAAGGTCAATATTAGTATCTACATCTTCCAGGCCTTGGTTGCCCCTTATGACAAATGGACAACTGCCTCCCTCTGGGGTTATTGCACAGCTCAGATGAGTTTCACCAGAGAAACATGGAGTGCTGCACTGCTGGACTCTGGAGGTGTGGCTCTTTTAAACGTTATCTAAAGTGCATGGTCAGACCACAGCATCTGGACACGTATCACTAGTAAGGAAAACTCCAGGGCTCCAGGGCAATGCTCAGCAGTTTAGAAGTCCTCATTCAACAGTCCCTTCAAAATGCATTTCTGCTCGCAAACCGGGGTCCCCATACCTGGTGTCATCATCTGGTGCTATTGTTCTTGTTGCTCTGCTGACCCAAACTCATTCAGGGTCTAACACCATGGCCATGCTTGGACGGTGCATTCAAGCACAGGCACACGAGAACTTTACAGACCTCTTTTCTCCACCACCCTGTGCTGCTTTCATGAAACAAAGTGAAGAAGATGTGTCTTCCCTAAAGGTCTAGGTCCTGTTTAGCTGGGGAGGCACCTGACATGCCCCCAGGACACCCGTCACCTGGTCGTCGGGACAACTCACTCTTGAGTGTAGCATTACTGTCACTGGGTAGCAGTTCTCGGACCAGCTGTCCATCATCCTTATCCTTGTCCAGCCACCTTGAGAGAAATGAGGTGGGGTGTTAGTTCTCTGAGTGGAACAGGCAACACTCCAACCATCACACCCCTCATACAGAGTCACCAGGAGGCCCGGAGTTTGGAGTTCAGCAAAAGAAAGTGGGTCTTTGAGATCTCCTAGCAAAATATTCCAACCCAGACCAGAGGAAGACTTTCTGGAGAAGGCAGACGGCAGCTGGCTAAGATTGGAAAGATGACAAGATGTTGGCCAGGAAAAGAGAGAAGAGCATCCCGAGGGACAAACATAGCCTGGGATGGAAGTCCAAGTGTTGCTGAAAGGCCCTTGTAGATGGAATACAGCATGTGAGAGCCAGGGTTGCCGGTAAATGAGGAAGAGCAAGGACAGGCACAGGACCGTGGTGAAAGGCCACTGTTACTGTCAGGCACATCTTCTCAGGGTCAGCTGTGTGTGGCGCTGTGACAGGCTCTGTCTGGGAGGAAGCAGAGAGGACTCTAGGGTAACAGCTCAGGCTGCTGACAGCCTACAGCCTGACCAAGAAGACAGCATAGACTCAATGAGGCACAGAGGGTAGGCTTGAACAAAGGATGTGCTACCAGGACTCCGAGAAAGGAGAAGGACCGGTGGTGAGGAAGCTGAACTGGCATCTTCAAACATGGATGAGATTTGACCGCAGGAAAGTGCCAGTCTGTGGTTTTTCAGGGCTCAGGGTTGATACGTATGCCTCATCAGTATGTCATACTGAGCAGTGGCTCCAGCCCTCTGTTGGCTGTCCCCCAGAGGAAGAAATGTGGGGGACATCCACCTGCAAGGCATCTTTCCCTTAGACCACAGAGGCCAAGTCGGAAAAGTAAGACGACTGTGCAAGCACGCGTTGTATATATCCCACAGGTTTGGAACCAGTTTGTAACCCAGTGCCAGTCACTGCTCTCTCGGGTTCTTAAACTGTGGAACGTGACCCTACCAAGAGCCGTGGAACTCACTGCGGGAGTTGTGAAATTGGGGAAACAGTGACGAGGTTCTGATTCTGATGCACAACAATCCAAACCTAAAGAAAAAAGGGTGAAAAATCCAAGGTAGTGGTGCTTGCCGGTGCTGTGCAGGTGACGTCACTGGACTCTGAGCACACAGCACTCTCACTTTTCCTGCTAGTGTAACCACAAGCAACGCCAATGTAGCCTGGAGCTCTTCGGCCCCGATTCAAGACCACTGTGTCATGTCACGAATCATAGTGTTTTTACACTCTACATTGTAGCATGAATCTTAAAAAGTTCTTATTAATAAGATCAAACCTGAGGCCAGTTATTGGGGTGAATGCTGGTAGATCAGATGCAGAATAAGCCACAGCTAACCTCACCTTGCCAATTCCTCAGCTTGTCTTGTTTCCTTAGACTGGAAGCCTCTGAGTCCTCATCCAGAATGAATGTCAGCTGAACTGTGTTGCTTGAAAGCCTAAAGCTTAACCAGCCAAATGCTTAACCAGCCAAATGCTTCTAGTTCCTGGTCCTCATGCTTTATATATCTTTCTGCCTTCTACCATCACTCCCTGGGATTAAAGATGTGAGTCACCACCATGCCTGACTGTTTCCAATGTGGCCTTGAATTCACAGAGATCCCAGATGGATTTCTGCCTCTGGAATGGTAGGATTAAAGGCATGTGTTATCTCTGCCTATCTTAAGTATCTAGTGGCTTTTCTGTTCTCTGACCCCAGATAAGTTTATTAAGATACACAATATTTTGGGGAACACAGTACCACCACACTACATATAATTTTTTCTGCTCTTCTAGAAACATAATTGTTTCATCATGAAAATAAAGACCTTTACTATTTTCCTACCATTGTTCCTTAGGAAATGCCAAATTAGAATATCTGTATATGATTGTGTTAGAATATTTAGTTTTTATAATTGTTGTTTGAGTTTCTGGCTTGAGTTTGACTTAAAAGATTATCAAATGAATGTTGCCTTGGGATTAAAGTAAAATTTCCAACAATTTCTGAAATGATCCTAAGCATCCTTCTGCCATTTTGTACAATCTGTTTGTGCCAAGCAGAGCTATCAGCATTGACAGTTGGAAAATCAAGGTATCAATCGGTCAGTTCTGAGAAACATTCAAGATACTCAGCATGCTGCAGAATCAAACAGTCAGCAAATATTTAACTTTTTCTGTAAAAAAAATAAATCAATAAATATAACCACCTCATTAACAAAATAGCTAATTAACTAAAAACAACTAAATTAAAATAATTAAAAATTTTGATTTTTGTCTCTAATAAATGGTAAAATTATTTGTATATCAAAGAGTTGTAACAGATTTCTTTATGATTTATTATACATAAATGTTTTCTTTGTTGGCAATGTTAGCTATTTTGTTGACCTAGATACCTAGGATCACATATACATTTCTTGGGCAAAAAGGGGCCATGAGTGGAAAAACTAAGAGCTTTATGTTAGAGAATTGCAGAGACCAAGGCATTTTTGTCTAGAACACATATCTCCCTACTTTATGCCTTGGTGCTTGTCTTCAAAGCCCATCCCTTCACGATCCTGGAGGGTAGAGCTTTCTAAGCCTGTGACGATGCAATATGCAATATTATAATAATGCATATCTCTCGCATTCAAAGAGACTAGAACTTTTGCCACCCTCACAGGCAGGGCTAATAATACACCCTGATGTCACTGAAGACTGCTGTCCTGTTGTGTACAGTCCACTTGTTTAACTTACCTTTAAGAAAACAACGTAACAACCAACCTTACTTGCCTTGGATTTCCCATTAGCTTTTACAACCTAAGCTATGCATAGCTATAATCTTAAATTATCGACTCTTCCATGTCACTGACCTAAGAGTAATACATGTGTGTTTATATGTATGTATGTTATGATAATTGTTTGCTGGAAACAGAAAACAGGCTGAAAGCAGCCTTATAAAATGAATATCTACCATAAATGCTGGAAGTGGCATTTGGATATATGGCTTGGTAGTGTTCGCTTGTAAACTGGGTCATCTGGAATAAATGACTTAATCCCTTGTAAGACTCTATATCCCTCATGTGATGCTTTCTGTGTTGCTCGATAAAGAGAGAGCAAAGCCCTTTGCTAGGAACATGCAGACTTAGAGCCAGAAAGAGACAAGTTCACAAGACAGTATCCAGGCAGACGCAGATTCAAACCCACACAACAGACAGACTGGAACAGCAGGAAATACTGGGAAGGAGGAGTAAAGAGTTCAAACTGGGCTCTCTTTAGATTAATTATACCGAGGGTCAGCTTTTTAATTTAGTTCCCTTGATGCTACACCTATGCATTATTGGTGACTTGAGTTTGTCATTAATGCATTCAAACCAACACATAAGCCTGTAAAGGAAGACAGGGCCTACAGCTCATGAAGGAAGCCAAGGCGCCACCTCCTCCCTGCCCCTTCCGGCATGTAGCTCAGGCCTCCTGAATAATGACCCCTTCCCAGGGCCGATGAGATAACACCATGCTTTCCTCAGCTCTTCTTACTTATTTCATACCCAAATCCCAAGGGCTCCCACTCCCAGGGGACCTCACTGTCATTTTGTATTAACAAACACTAAAATGCTGTTCGATCATGTAGGCTTTAGGGCTGTGGTTCAGAACACCGGAAAGATGAAGCAGAGAGTTCAAGACACATAGATTCAGATTCATGGTGTCATCCTAAGCAATGGCGATAGAGGATTTGGGAACCACAGACTGTTAGCTACCATCCCTTAAACTGAACCATTGGGACTTTCCCTTTCTGTCTTGCTAAGGTCACTGATGGCTCCCATAGTCACAGAGCCCACAGGAGAGATGGCTGGGATGTTGTCTGGCCATGAATGGAAGCAGATAGGCCACCAGTCATCAGAAAATCTTACCTGTTATTCCTTGTCTCCTCCATTTATCTATCCCCAGCCCCTCCCAAGAGGTAAAAGGACACCATGACACATGCTTTTGTTGCTACCCAAATACTTAGAGGTATTAATAGACATAGTTTTAAAAAGCTATTTCCTTTCAGCTTCAAATGCTTCAACCTAGTTTTGCCATGAGGTGTTGCTAAATGGATGTTAGCATGCTGGTAGCTTCATGACTCTTTCCCTGGAGCCACAGGAGTGTGCACATTACACACACACACACACACACACACACACTTAAAATAGCTCAGAACTACTTTGCCTTCCCTACTATGGGAGTTGCACAGCTCAGATGAAGAATGAATCAATGTGTGGGCTCAGGCCCCAGGTTAATCTGGTGTGTGTTCCTCCCAGGTATTAGCACAGGTGGATGAGAACCAGTGGGGTTTCATGAAACCCTGATATTTCTCCTTGTTCTAGAACGCCTCTATTGGCAACTTTAGGAATCACCTGGAGCTGCCAGTTGTGCAAGGAGCACTTCAGAAAACTTCTCATCGCTCTTGAGAGAAGGAAATGCAAACAAAGCTGGATACCTTGAAATGATGGAACCAAGCAAGAAATGTGGCCAGACTATTCAAACAGAAATCCAGCCGGGTGGTGGTGGTTGTACGACTTTAATCCCAGCACTCGGGGAGGCAGAGGCAGGTGGGTCTCTGTGAGTTCGAGGCCAGCCTGGTCTACAATGCGAGTTCTGGGACAGCCAGAGCTACACAGAGAAACCCTGTCTCAAAAAAATAAAAGACAAAACAAAACAACCCAACTTGTGTCCATAGTTCATTCTACATCTGACTAATCCTCCAACAAATCACTTAAATTAAGGAAATGTCAGGGTGTTTTTGGTTGGTTGGTTTGTTTTTTATGAGAAAAACCATCATGTTGGCATTAGAGGTCCACTGGAGTGCCCCTCCCAGCAGAGGTGAGGTAGAAATGTGAGACTCAGGTCCACACACCTCCTGCCAGGCCACTTTCTTCCTTCACCAAGTGCCGCTCTGAGCCGCTGTTTCCCTCACTGCTCCATGTAAGAGGATAAGTCTTTCTCTAGCACCAGCTGGAAGAAAGGAAGGCAGAGCACATGTGTACCTGAGGCACGGGAACTCAACGTTGTCGCTCTCAGGCTGTCCTTCCTCTCTCACCAGTACCCTGTCCAGGTACCAGCCGCTGCCCGAGCCTTTGCCATCATGTCTGACCCTCACTCGCCTCACCTTCCTCATAGTGACAGACTCAATGGTGAACTCATCGGCCTTTGGGAAAGAAAAGACAGCAAAGTCACATAGACATGGCTCCCCTGAGACCCAATACCAGCATACTCCAGAAATTCAAAGGCAGAGCTGAAAGGATGAGCTACAATTCTTTCACGGGGACACACAAGCTACCGCAGAGAACAGAAATATAAAATACATACAACCATGGCCTCCTTACCCCTCCCCAGTGGACCAAAGCCTACCTACAACCTCCTGCCCAGAAGGCCTTTACCAACACAGCCTTCAAATGCCCACCCTTGAGTTGGTTCAGTCTTCTACTTGAATTCTTTCGTGCCAAGAAAAAGGGTGAATGGAGGAAGGAGGAGCAGAGAATCTACAAATTCCTTCCACCTGAACATCCCCCACTTCACATCACTGGAACAGTGACTCTTTCCTGGGCATCTACTGTGTGCTGAGGACCACATCTGACCCTGTGCAGTCTATCAGTCCTCCATAATCTCCACAATGGCCAGGCACAGGTTGGCATCCTTGCCCTCATTTAGATACAAGCAAAGTGTGGCATAGGAGAGGGCCGTGAGTGACCTCAGGCTGCCTTTCTCTAGACCTATTTGATACTTTCTCCACAGCCCTTTGTCCCAGATTAGAGCCACGTGATGGCTGTGGTGACCTAGGGGGATACCTGACACCCTGTATTGTGGCTAGCAATAGATCTCAGTTCTTTCACATCCATGTCTGGTGTTTTTCTTGGTTTCTCGAAGGGAGAAATGAAGGAAGGAAAGAAGGAAGGAAAGAAAAAAGGAAGGAAGGAAGGAAAAAAGGAAGGAAGGAAGGAAAGATATAAACAAGCTTCCCCCAGTGACCATGACTAATAGAAAATGTGTATTATCTTCTATTTTCTCCCAGCCTGGATCCTCGAGCATATACTTGAGATGTCCATCATCCTTCCCAACCTGAGGGGAGGGGAGGAGACCACAATGTCTCCACGGTGGCTCTCTAGCTTCTAGGTGCACAATACTGTGAGCCTTGTAGTTGCCATCAATGTTAGCAAATGACAGTAAGCCAAATTTGCTCAAGGATCCAATCAACCAGATATTTCCGTGTCCTTCAAATGGCTCCTACCTGGAGTCCCTAGGACCCCACTCCCCTCATCCAGACAGATGTTAACTCATTGTTGAGGTCCTGACACCAGCCGTCAGCTCTACTTTGAAAGAACAGGGAAGACAGGAAGACAAAGCAGGGGTGGGCTGGGAGGAGGGCGGCTCACCACTGCAGCTTACATTGCCTTTCTCAAACAGGTCGGTGTTATTCCTGCAGTTGTAGAGTAGTCGCTCCCCGGTGTCCCCCACATCACCAAAAAGGCAGAGGTAGACATTGGCATCCGTTCCCGCACCTTCGAGTTCCCCTGTGCATACAGTCACACGGTACCGGGCCACTGACAGACAGAAAAGGGGACACCATTGGCTGGCTGCCTCTGCTCCCATGCCTAAGCTCTGCATCCACCTCTTTCAGCTGTTACCTGGGATGACCTCGTCCCTCAGCTCAACTTCCCAAACCCCACTGCAGTGAGCCCACTTGGCAGCTGACTCATGCTAAGCCTTGGTTTAGACAGACCAGAGGCTCTTCATGTCTGTCAATCATCAGAAACCCATGGGAAATGTTTACAAGAATTCAAATTTCTGGGGCCGGCTTCAGACTTCCCACACCTTAATTTCCAGAGGGAAGACCCTTGCAACTGAGTTGCTGATGAAGCCCCTGTGGAGTCTGAGGGAAGGAAAAGCGGCACCCAGAACTAGTGTTCCCTGGAAATGGAGAGGAAGCAACAGGTAGGGGATGTAATTTAAAGGCACGTCTTGGTGATAGACCAGATAGGCAATCAAGAGAAAGAGAAGTCATGTTTTGGTCTTGGCAGCTAGTGGATAGAATTGTTAGTAAGGTGGAGGAGAGCTGTGGTAGGGTGAGTTTGGGGATGGGAATCAAGGTTCTGTTCCGGTCACTATACATTTGAGACGCCAGTTAGATGTTTACAAAATGCAAGTCAAGATGGCAGTTAAATACATCTGGAGGGCCGCGGTCTGGTGATCACCATAGGTAGATGCATTCCTTTTAAAGCCATGAAATCTGGTGGGAGCAATGATGAGGAAGATGTAGACAAGGATTGAAAGAATATTTGAAGATAAAATGGTCCCACACTCCCCAAATTGGTGTTAAAAACATTAATCTGTATATTTGACATTTTATATAAAATGAACTCTGAATAGGAAAAAATCCAAAGAGATTTACTTGTAAACACATCATAATAAAACTTCTAAGAGCCAAAGACAAAGAAGAAATCTTAAAAAGGAGCAGCAGGAAATTGAGCACAAGGGATACGCCATAAAAATTAACCGACAACTTTTCATCCAAAACTATGGAAACCGGAAAGCAGTGGGATGCTTTCAATAAGCTGAAAGAAAACGACCATTATCCAAGGATTCTATATCCACTAAAACTGCCCTTCAGGGATGAAAGAGAAATTAAAGCATTCCAAAACAAACAAGTACTTCAAGAAACTTCCATCACTAAAAGGCATTCTCTGTAACAAGTATTAATGGGAGATCTTCACATTAGACAGTAACGTGAATTCATTGGAGTATTATGAGTCATGAGAAGAGATAAAGCGACCATGGCAATGATACTGTACATGTATTTTTCCATTTTTAACACCTGCCTTCTCACATTTTATATAAAAACACAACAGCAGAGAACAGTAACTATAAAAACGCACTGGTGAGTCTTTCATATGTAAAAACAAAATTTCAATATGGGGTATCACATATCCTAGGCAAAGATACAATTTAAATGACAACAACTGTGTGTAGGAAAGTGCATGGGGGTGAAGTCTTATATATTACTAAAATTAAGTTGACGTTACTTTGAACTAGGTTGTTCTAAGTTAAGATGTGGATTGTAATTTGGGGGAGACTATTTAGAAAGTAACTGAAATAATGTGCAGTAAAAGCAACAAAGAAAGAGAGATGGTATTTTATAAAATCAATGTAATGCTAACGAAGATAATAATGTAAGAATTGAGGGAGCCAAAAATACAAACTATAGAAAACATATTACAGATGTAAATCTTACCACATTGGTAATTACATTAAATGTGACGTATTATTTGTAAATGGACTTAATGTTTCAATAACAGCAGAGTATGGTGGGCAGCCTGCAGAAATGGAGGCCAATGATGCCCCACACAGCCAGCCAACGTAAGCTGTATTGTTGACTTAAGGAGGCACTCTAGGAGCTTCACAGACTTCAAAGAAGGTTCACAAATACATTGAGGCAGCAGAGAGCTTGAGGTTGGTAAGGGGTGAGATTGATTGGGGTGAAATGATTCTGTAATAGGCCAGGTAGCACAAAATTCCCACCAGGGCCGAGGGACAGAGGAGCCATGTATTCCCACCAGTCTGCTTAGGTATGAGGCAGAAAGGACAAGAAAAATGAAATAGTTGAAAACTGTCATTAGTTGAACATCAAAAGGAAATCAGCTATACAGAGAGACTGTCCAAATGGATATGGATCTAAATATCTCCTCACAAAGAGATATACTTTAGGTCCTGCAGCATAAATAGGTTGAAAGTAAAGAATGACTACCAAAACTGACTTGCGATGAAACAGACTCATAGGGTAAAAAGACTGAATAATTAAAAAAAAAAATACCCACAAAGAGAAGCCTGTGTCCTTACTGCATGCCTTACTGCAGAAATCTACTATACATTTAAGGAAAAAGAAATTTTCTGAAGAGTGTATAACAAGAGAAGAGTAGGTATATTACTTTACTTTTCTTCTAGTTTTGACCAAATACCTGCTGAGAAGACACTCAAGGGATAAGATGTTTATTTTGGTTCAGGGGTGAAAGTGACTCAGCCCATCCCGGAAGGAAGGCATTTGGAAGAGAGCTTTCAGCTGTGAGGGCAGGAGCACGAAGTTGCTCGCTCACCAACGGATGGGCTCAGGAGCAGCGATGTGAGTGCTCATGTTCTGTTCCCTTCCTCCTTTTCCCTCTATTGCTCAGTCCACCCCTTGGCCCATGTGATGGTTCCACACCATTCTGTGTGGGCCTCTGTCAATCTGGGTAGGTCTCTCTCCCTTAACCTTCTCTAAAATACCCTCAAGACATATCCAGAAGTGTCTGTCAGTCTCCATGGTGATTCTAAACCTAGTCAGATTGATGATGAAGATTAACCATCACGAATCCACTCCTTGTCAACTTGACATTTAAACACTGTAATCCATAATGCTCTACCCTTGACCAAAAGGCCTATCGATGCCCATCTCATAACGCCAAATGTATCCAATCAAACTTCAAGCGGTGCCACAATCTTACAATTCCATGAGTAGGCCCTTACACCTGAGGCACACTTACTTTTGTCTGGGTACAAGGTCCTTGATTCGCTTTAATGTCACTAATACCTTTTAACATTTGCAGCCACACTGTCCATACCTGCCTTGTCTGTGACCTTAACTGGATTCACACTCCTTTTCTTTCCAAACTGTGTGTGGGGGGGTTTTCCCTGCTTCTTTCTGGTCTACTTTTTGCTTTGAATTCTCACTATTGACCTCACTAAATGCAGTGAGCAATAAACCACGCCACAGCCTGCATGCTATACTCAAGTTTGAAGTTTCTTCCCATCAGGTAAATTACTCCATTGCCTTTTAATCCAGTCCCACCTGAGTTTTCAGGACATAGGTAGAATGCAGCCAGTTTCTTGGTCAGAACGTAACATGCATGGCTGCTAGCTCCATTCTCAATAGCATCATTATCTCCTTGTGAACCCTCCTAAATATAACCTTGTCCATTAACGTTTCTAGAGGCACCCGGTCTTCCTTTCTCCTGCTGGAATAGCTTACAGAATTCTGGGCCTTCCCCAGCCTTCACTTCCAAACCCACCCATATTCCTTCCTCAAACCAGTCCCAAAGGCTTATGAACCACATGCTCAGGTTTCCCACTGTAACAGAAACAGCCTTACCCCTAGGTGCCAGTTTTCTATATTAGTTGTTTCTCTCATTGCTGTAACCAAACACAAAAGCAAGTTCATGAAGCAGAGGCTTACGTTGGCTCACAGTTTAGGAGAATATAGCCCGTGGCAGTGGCTCGTGGTGGTGGCAGCCGGAGCGTGAGGCTGCCCATTCAGACTTGATGGCACAGACAGCAGCAACAAGCCAATGCTTAGATGACCTTTTCCTTTTCCCTCTTTGGTTCCATCTAAGCCCTAAGCCTGTGGGATGACATCTCTTCAATGAAGGTGAGCCTTTCCTTCTTAGTTATTCCTCTCTGAAATGACTTAAAGATATACCCAAAAGAACCAAGTTTGTAACAAAGGTTAGTAATCATCTTACGGAATTCATTTTATGAAGCCCACACATTCTTGGTACCAAAGCTGGCAATGACATAATAAGAAAATAAATCTATAGACCAGTATCTTTTATGAATATAAATGCAAAAATTCTCAACACAATAGCTGTAAGCCAAATATTGCAATGCAGATAAAGAATTATACACTATGGAATTCTGCTCAGGCAGGTGTCTGAGGAACCCAGTGGCCCAGACTGACCAGCTCAGCTTCCACCCAGGCCCACAGTCAGGCCTTGGGTTGGCCCACCCTAACATCTACCTTATCTAGGACCTGCTGGAGCTCGTGAAGGGATTGGTCCTATAGAACAATACTTGCGGCATCTCCATGACTCAGGGTGGCTGTGGGCCATCTTAGAGTAGTTTTGGTGAGGATCCAGTGATGATGGTGTAGCAGAAACCAGAGGCCTTGAACCAGACCAGTGACTCATTGTAATGAGCATTTGCTAGTAAAGATGATTGGACAAAAGTGTGTACTATGTGAGACCACTCCCAGTGCCACCAGGACAAATGAAGAGGTGTTGGAGAGGCAGGAAAGATGGAGGAGTGAAGAAGGTTTTTGTTGTTTTGTTTTGTGTTTTGTTTGTTTGCTTGCTTGCTTTGCTTTGGTTTGATTTTCTAAAAATTTTCTTCTGCGGGGACACTGCAGGGGTGAGGGGAGGATATTGGGAGACTGGGAAGTAAGTGGAGTTAGGGTGCATGATGTTAAATGCCCAAAGAATCAATAAAGAAATTATGTTAATTTAAAAATTATACACTATGAATCAGTGTGATGGTAAACTGGAAATAGATCTACCTCAAGATCCAGCTACACCACTCTTGAGCATATACCCAAAGGACTCTACATCCTACTACAGAGACATTCGCTCATCCATGTTCATTGCTGCTCTATTCACAATAGTCAGAAATTGGAAACAACTTAGATGTCCATCAGCAGATGAATAAGTAAAAAGAATGCTGTACGTTACACAATGGAATATTATTCATTTTTTAAAATGAAATCATGAAATTTTCAAGTAAATATATAAAGCTAGGGAAA